GTTTTGTAAGACTATTGATAAACACTAAAAGCTCAAAGGTAAAACACTACATGCAAGGAGTCCCGTTTTGTAAGACTATTGATAAACACTAAAAGCTCAAAGGTAAAACACTACATGTAAGGAGTCCTGCTTTTTAAAACTTAAAACAAGCTAATGAGGGGAGGTCTTCTACCGAGCACACGCCTTCAGTTGCTTTGTCAGACATGCTATTTGATACTGATGATTTATGAGAAACAATTCCAGGCAAGATCTGAACTTAATGCGGCACTCTAATTCCACTCTAAATTAAGTATGTTATAGAGTAATTTTTGGAATGATACTTAAGGTGAATTCGGTAGCACTGATCTATATATAAACTTCCCATTTTTCTGAGTGGAGGTTGAAACAAGTTGGCAAAAATAAAAAGTTTTAGGTTCTATAAAACTCGAATTCTTTTTCCCGGGCCCAGGGACTTAATAAACCTGCACCCTTTTCCATTTTGTACTGTGAACTTCGTGCCTGTGAACACTCATTCTTTACTTTGGTGACCTACTTATCTTGAGGCACTTTATTTGTTTACTCATTTTAACATAATGTACGGAAGCTAGTTTCATCTCTGCTTTATCTTCTTAACTCTCCCACAAAGCTTAATTAGCTCAACTAGAATATCATGTTGTTTGGAAATTCAACCAAGACAGAAATAATTAGCATGTTAAGTGACTCAAGTTTGGTCTGATATTTTTGGTTCCTTTTTAAGTGCTTACCTAAACAATCCAAAGAACTCATTCTTGGTGTGAGGAAATGTTTGCACTGCTAGCGATCTTTTAGCACAATATAAAAGGGCTCAAAGATCACTGAGAACGCAAATATTTTCCACTCCAGTTGAACATATGGACGGTGAGGGAATAAAGAGTGCGTCATGCTGTGCCCTGAGGTTGGACTGACGTATCGCAATCTTTAAAGTGGAACCTTGCTTGTAAAGTCAATTGATTCGAAAGGAAATCCACTTCATGGTCTGAGAACACAGGTACGGCTTATAGCTGTTGAAGCGATTTAAACCATTTTTAGTTCATTGTTAACTCGAAAAAGAAAGGTTTGAACGGATGAAAAACATTGCTAAAATCCGGCACCGCTCGAAAGTGTTGTTTCCTATCACGGCGTCATTTTTGGGTAAGTGGGTGTCTTGATGAGAGGCCTTCTAATAGAATTAGATTCTTACCAGGTAAAAACGATAAGTATTAGACAGATGGATTACTCATTACAATTAGAGTGATTTGGGATTTGGGAAAATTCCTGTTATGAATAAAAAGCCATTATTTTTTAAATTTCGTTTCGACGAGAACATGGATAAAGTTCTATGTCGCTCTAGAAATGGCATTTAGCTGTTCATTAAACATAATCAGCCAGATCTGCAAGAGCGGACCAAGCCGTATGGAACATGGAAGTCTTGTTCTGTAAGTTTAAAGCTTCCAGCCAGTAAAATTAGCGAGAATAATTATGATATGCTGACCAAGAGAGAATTATACTTGACATCGTCTCAGTCGTTTTAACAGATTATATTTGTTAACAAATGCGTGTAACCCATGTATACATTCCTGGTTAATTTGTTTGGCAAGTTTCAAAGTCTGTGGAATTTCAACAGATTAGTGGGAGGCCCCCAATGATAATTGGTGAATTAAGCAATTCCTATTCAATATTATGTTTCTACAATACAGTATACTGTTATAAGCAAAAGGCACAGAAGGATGGGATGGTGAGAGTGCACTCTGGAAAACTTCCCGTGCAAAACGTTCAATCAAATCGGCAGAAATTGTTCAAGACGGGAAAAAAACTTAAGTCTCATGGAGCTAACAATTATTTCAAAATACTTATTTTCATTATTAAGCGGTAAAGTTTTTCAGCTTTGTATTGTGACGTTCTTAGCCAAAATCACGTTTAACTACTAACTGCGAATAAGTAAGCTTAGTGAAAAATGAAGATTGCTTTTTGTGCTTGCTCTATGAAACAATAATAATCGTTTTCTTTCCATATTGCTAACATTTGATTTTGGATTATAAATAAACCGAGCCGTCAATGTCATTGCGTTTATAAATTTCTCTTTTCCGAAGAGTCTTCTGGAAAATTACATCCGTTAAAGAAATAGAGTTCATCAAGTGTTCTGTTAATGTTTAGCGTCTTATATCCTACTGGATGTAATGCGAAATCGAAAAGTACACAACCCCTAAATTAGCGCAAGGTGAGAGAAACCACTCTTGATACATTCGATAGACATTTAGTTTTTGTGAAAATATATGTATATATTATATATATGAAAGCGATGATTCAAATTCAATACGGTAGAGATCTTTGTAAAGTTCTTTTCTTGTCCACGCACATCATAAATCAGCAAACATTAAATGTGTTGGTTCGTTGCATCTTTCATTCACTCGCTAGATTGGAACAAATTGGGTCACGGTTGTTGCGTGTTGCGAGCGCAGTTTCACTTCCAATCAGTCAACGTCGGTGGCAAACAGAAAACAGGTTCTCTTGCGCTGTGCGCTTGTTGGCCGACAGTGCAGCGTGGTCAAGGCACCTCAAAGTTGAAATCATAAAAAATCTGAGAATTTTCGAACGAAAAGGGCGAGTTCCTTCTCCATCAACTGTTTTAGCGTAGCAGTTCTTTACCCGCCCTATATATTATGTCATCCGTATGGGTGGTAAAAAAAAGTTCCGCTTTAGTCGTTTCTTTGTTATCTCCGCTTTCTTTCCATCACGAAGTTATCATAGCGTTTAAATTTGAAGGTAGTAGGGGCGTTTCGAGTACATTTCAACACAAATTATTCATTTCAAACATATTTTTGAGATTTACAGGTGATAACTAAAATTCAACTCGTTGTGACGTAGTTGAGAGCATTTCTTACAATGTTATGCAATATTTTTGGAATACTGAGGCGTTTACAATGAGTAAAGATTATTTACAAGCTGTTTGACGAGTGAATGGTAAAAGTAATTTCCATAAGAATCTCCATACATAAAAAAATATTCACATACAAAGAAGACTGATTAGTTACTTTAAATCTGCAAAAGTAGGGGTAGGCCAGGCCTTCCAAATCAGCTTACGAAAAAGGCGTGTTGTTAACACCTAATTTTGAATACATTCTTAGACTCTAAGCTAAATTTAAGGTAAATAGAGCGTTAGGTGATGCTACACCCTAGTCCCATTGTCTGTTGCGGTTTCCTTTGGTTTTCGTTTTTCCTCTTTCGCAGAGTACAAACCCAGATATTGATTCCATATCGTTCTGGGCAGATATTCTATACAGCGCCACTTTCTTGGCAATTAATTAACCACCGAGGGTTTCAACTGAGCTTTTAGGAGTAATTCGTGAAGAACAATTCGGTTCAGGCGTTGTTCGATCCAAGGGAACAATAAAATTCATGTCAAATATGACTAGTTCTCCAAGGATTTTTTTCTAAAACCCACTCGTAAAGATATGTTGCAAGCGCGTTGTTCACCCTAACTGGCCAATACCTTAATAAAATAACTACAATAGTATGATCTTTAAACTTTTGTATAACTGGTAAGTAAGTAAATAAGTGAGTAAGTAGTAAATAGTTCAAATGATATAGCTTCTTCTGGGTGGAAAGTGAGATCCTTTTAAACCGAGCCGTGGGCTGACACAAATGAATGAATATTTGTCTGAACTAGTTGCAAATTAGATGAGGGACAGAAACTCGGTACAATGTTATACTTGTAAGGAAGCGGTGGCACTGGTAGTGCAAATTGTTCGTAATAAGGAAACACTGCAGTTTGTATCGGATAAAACATAGTGTTTGCTTCTTCCCACCGTAAGTTTGCTTCAAACTCAGGCGCCATTTGCTTTTTCCATTTAGTCCGTCGGTTCTGAAACCATGTTTTGACTTGAGTATCCGTAAGACGGAGACTGTTAGCCAAGTTGTTTCTCTCTGTGATCGTTAAGTATTTCTTATCTCGAAACTTTTGCTCCAAAGATTTTAACTGGCTGCTTGTGAAGGCTGTTCGCCTTCGCCGTATCTTGTTCAAGAGGTCCTCTTGTCTGGGGAACTCAGCGCCGTCGTCGATTTCATCACTGTGGGGTACGAACTTTGAGGGGCAATGTTCTAAGAGAAAGAAATGTACATCATCTTCATCATATTTTCGTCATATTCTGGAACTTTACACTTATGGTGGGACAAAGCTTTTGCTTCATTTCAATGGTTTGATGGTAACATGATTTTCCCTTCAATTGGCTTACCTTTTTGGTCCTGTTGTTGACTGGAACGTTCATCAACACAATTCGTGTGGCGCACATCAACATCGTTAATTTCTTGTTGTTTTTGCGTTGAAAGTCCAAGGATGGCATTTATGCTGAATGATGCCATTGCGTTTGGATATAAGGGAGGTGAAATGCGTCCTTGGACAAGTTGACTAAATTGAAAGCAACAACTATTTCTATCCGCTAAATATTATGATACCAACATCCGGACAATGCTAATCTGTTTGACAGCCAATTAAACATAGTCTGCTAACCTTAACTTGTTTCCACTTTACACGACAAAGGGTCGGTAAATGATTTGGGACTTACCGTAAACAGACATATAAGCGGTTGTCACCCGAGATGACTGTAGCATAATGAGATCATCAAATGCTTCGCCGACTAACACAGCCATTACACACTACCGCAAGTACATACTTCACTGAGTTGACCATTGTTCAAAAATTGTTTCCGGTTTCAAATGTTCTAGAAGGAGAATCATTGACAAAACTCTATACAAAATTTGCTGATGTACCTTTACTTTTGACGTTTATATGGTGTGGATTTTGGGGAGGAGTTTGTTAAATGTTTTCATTGTTGCGTGATGGTATGGTTCATTGCGAGGAAATTGGCACTATTAGTTCTGTAAATGTCGGCCATATATCGCCAGACAATTGTCTAATCTCTCTCATATCAAGTTGCATGTGTGACGTTTTCCTGGGTATTTTAAAAGCAGGAAAAACAACGGAATCTTTTCCTATTCTTCTGTCATGCAAATTGCAATTTATCAAGCGTAGGTGCCCAAAGGGAAATGTATTAACTGCAGCAGATAAATGATTTGTCACCAGACAAAAACTGTCAGTTTTTACCCTTTCTTAAGAGCCTTTAATAAGCTTTACTCTCCGGTCGTGTATCAACTCAAAGAATAAATATAAAGCGCAAACATGTCCTTTACTTCTTCATCAGTTGGGAATTTATGCGATGAGCTATGAGTACCACGTGACGAACGGCGGAAAAAGAGTTCAGAAATTAAGCTCCCTTATTGTGTACTTGATGAAAGATACGTATTTTAAGAGCAGACCCTCCCCCGCTAAGAGTTTAATTGGGGAGCTTTCATCACGATCGCCAAAATGTTTAAATTTAGCTCAACATGAAGATTAAATGTTCTTGTTTCTAATCAAAACAATCTACTCCCTTCGAAGTAAAAATGTGGTATTTACAATAGACAATTTATTTATCTGCGTATCATCCCATACAGAGTATTAACCCCTGGCCGCTAGAAGTTCGCGTTTCTCGTTTTTGATATATGAACAATTTACGTCGCGTGCCATCAACCAAATCAGGCGAAAGACATACGTAACTCATAGCATAAGCTTTCTCTAAATTTTAAGGATTATCCTCATTTTCAGACCGGTTGGTCCGGAGATGCTTAAATGAATTAGATGTTTACAAGCGCAGGGTTCCGAAAGCCTTTTAGATTTCGATCCTATGAGTGGATATGTCCTATCTCAGTCTGATCTTTTGTTTGTTTATAATCATTTATAACTCTTGAGAAAGTGGGTTTACTAAGAGGTGATTAAAGCTTTTAAAGGTGGAAATGAAAGACATTACACAGGTATAATCCCTCACAGACTTAGGCCTGCGTAATGTTCACAGATTGAGGACCATTTGACCAGTGCGTGGAGTTCCGCTGTTAAGAAACCATAAAATTGTGTGCGAATTGTGTGCGAATTGTGTCTCACAGTGAGTAGATATTAGAAGATTATTATCTGGTGGTGCAAATGATTATCATTCTTTGATTGAGGTCATCAGACCAGACGTATTGCAGGGCATGTATTGGTGATGAACATTCCTGTAGCTTAGATTCCTTAAATGCGTATCGCGTCAAGCAAAATTGATCAGTGCGTGGGATCGTGAGTCATAAAAAATATAAGAAATAGAAAAATGTTCTCTCTCTGAACTGGTCACCATGTCGGATAAAAAAATATTTCTAAGTGAGTATTACTTCGTTTGCTCGGTTACTGAACATTTTTAGTATCAAGGAGGGCAAAACAGAGGAATAATGATGATTTAATTAAGCGAGAAATGGGACCGAAAAAATTGTACAAAAAAATTGAACTATAAAATTGAAAAAGGTCCCATTGTACGTGTTCGAGGCCAATATTCGAGGTTAATATTGAGATATTCAAATAGTTTCGCCAACTCAATTTTGGCGACCTCCCATTAGAAAACTGCAATTACAGTCACAGTATCGATCGTGACTTATTCTAAAAGTGCGTTATCGGAAAACGCCTCATTCAGCAGCAGAGAAAAAAAATGTAACAGTTACCTCTCTCGCACTTCACAACCACTACTCTTTCAAATGCTAGGTTTGAAGGTTGTGGAAAATATTCAAAGTCCTGTCTAAGTTGAGGTAATTGCAACTCCTTTTGTAATGTTACAATTTACTTGGAAAGGAATATAATCGACTGAGAAAAGATATTTCAATGAAAGACATGGGATAATAGAAAAAAAAAAAACAAAGATCATATAGGGCAGTAATGAAGATGGAACGAGGATGGCAAATATGTAATGGAGAACTGTAATACCATTTGCATATGAGAAACTTATTACTAATCAAATATTTAGGGTGAACCCAATTCGATGTGCCAACTCAATGCAAATAAATAAAATAAAATTAGGTAAAGGCATTCAATAAACTCAGAAAAAACTAGAAAAATTTGAAAAAAATAATTTTCTTTGTATCTCCCACTGGGATGGACAAGATGATAAGGTATTTCCAAATGATTGCCAGACAGGCATGGCAGTATTTAAAACTGTTGTAAGACTTAGAACGTAGTGTGCGACAAAGAAATTATATATTACAATCAGCTATTCTAGAAAGAAAGGCAAAGTCAATTATTGCCGCGGATTTTTGTGACCATCAAACTGATATTTTAGTTGGTAAGAGATAGTTATTACCAGTTCAGTACTAACTTTCAACCCAAACCATAGCTACACAAGGAAACCTTTCATTACCACGTATCTACGTTTTTGTATATTTGGATCTATGCCCAAAAATAACGCACTTTTTGCACGGTAAAATGATAAGCTATAAATCAAGAAAAATTACTAACATCGTTAAACACAATTCACCGTACGAACCAATGACCGATTTGGAATAATACAGCAAGATTGTGTTTGGAAATACAGAGTCAATGCAGGATATGGTCTCTTACTTGGTTCAGTGTCTTATTACGTCGTATCCCGGTACTCTGTCGCAAATCGTGGAAAGGAAGAAAACCAAGGATAGGCGGTGCCTTAAACTATTGAGCTCCGTGTGGCGGAATAAACGTTGGGGGTGGACAGGAATACATTGTGTTCATTCTGTAGATTGGAGGAGGAGGCGGACAATGACAAATAGGCACCCATGGAGGGTGGTAAGGTCCAATACTACTCCTTTGTATTTCATAGGCCAAGTGAATTGCTTCTCCAACATTTTCTCTTTTCCATTTGGTACGACGATTTTGAAACCAAGTTTTGACTTGTTTGTTACTGAGCTGAAGAGACTTTGCTAACATATCTCTCTCTGCAATTGTGAGATATTTGTTCATCATAAACTTTTCCTCTAGACATTTTAATTGAAAACTTGTGAACGCTGTTCTTTTTCTCCTCGTTTTTACAGACTTCCTTGTGGCTTTAGACTCACGGCTGTCTTCTTCTTTTGATGCCACGATTCGATTGTCTATTCGAGAAACATGAAAGTTGAAGCTGTCAGCTAAGAGCAAACATCAAATAAATGTACATCTGAGGTCTTGATGAGAAACACTCTGGTCACGACCACAATGGAGACATTAAGCGGGATATCGTCAAATCAGATGAATCAAATATTAACACTTCTAACCCTACACTGATTTTCATTTATGTTCAATCAATATTTACCTGGAATTCGAGATTCCTGACCATCCTCCTCGTCGCTTTCCATGGTTGCATGGAACCCAAGCCCGTTTCTCTGAGGCCCATGAAGTCTGTGATCATGAAATGGCGCTGTGTCCCTGATAAGTTCTTGCTGCGGTCTTGAGGAACCCAACAAAGCAGCGATAGTAAAATTTGCTGAATTACCAGGCTCCATCATCTTGAATGTTGCCTACGGATATTATTCATATCCAACTCAATGACAGCGATAAAGATAACTGTATAATCCCAATCACGAAGTATACAGCGTGATTTACAACGTAGTGTTTAATGGTCAGTTTCTATCTTTCACCGTTGTCTGATTTGTAATCAAAAACGTACTTTTACCTAGAATATTTTGTTAATGAATAAAGCTCAGCAAACGCCCAAATCTAATAACATAAATATGAACAATAACTGAGGCTATCGAAGTTCTAAGTTAAGCCTTCTCTGAGTCGATTGGTCAACTTTATCTTAACATAATCTAGGAACAGTTAAACCATCATTTGACGCTGACAAAAGAACAAGATCGGTTCAACTGATAACATACTCTGTCCGACTCAAACTCCCAAAAAAACTCGGAGTGCGTACCGTTCGGCTAACGCGTTGGTTTTTTTAAAAAAAAATTGGTTTCAGATGGAGTGGAAATTTTAAAGATAAACAGATTAACAGAAAATTTAAGATAACTCGTTTGATCATCTACATTGGCTTGTCTTACCTCGTGCTTCTCACGCAGCTAGTATTGAAGGTGATCTATTATGACAACTTAACTGGGAAGCAACTTAGAAAAAGACCAGTAGCTTTGGCTCAGTAGGTCGAACAATTGAACACACGTTGTAACAAATTTAAAATATATGTGATCTAATGCGACGGAAAGTATCTTGCTGTGCGGAGCATTCACCATATTTATGCTCAATTATATCCTGAAGCGAAAAGATTGTTAAGTCGGCCAGAATTTTTAAAGGGTTAAATCAAGTTAATTTGAAGGATTGAAAAAGTGCACCTCTGTACATAAAATGTGTTGAAGACATCATTACCTCTCTCACAGACCCTCTTGATAGAACATTCCGGTGAAGATGGATATTGTCCAAACACAAACATATCCAGCCATTTGACTAGCCCCAGGGCCCATCATTCACGAGGAGGGCACACATTAGCCACATGTTTTAATAGCACCACAACGCTAAAACAAACGATCATATAAAGAGCAGTTAAAATGACCTTCCATAAAGAAATTTTTAAATCATTATGTTTTAATCAACAACGAGTTTGCGAAAGGCGTGTTGCCTTTTGATTCAGAATTAGCCATCGATTAAAAATTTTAATATAATGGTTTGTTTGGAAGGTAAGCGGTGTTTATCCCTGGATAACCATATCTGGTTACCGTGTTTTCTTGTGGTATGACCAACTTGGTTCCTCTGACAAATGGCCCTAAGTGCTGAAACTTTAATCTACATTGAAACTAAAATGTGCAGTTAATTTATTGGCGGAAATACCTAAATGACTCCTATCGAGAAATTGTCTTATTCTTCCATTCATCAATAAAACGTCGGCAGTTAAGAAAAGGCTCCTAATTGTTGCTTCATAGAAAAACTGAGACTCCTCTAAAGTAACTAAGCACAGCATTTGTAGACATAACATTTTTCTGTATCCTTTTGAAAAATAACTTTATCATAGAAAATGACTCGAGAAATTGGGTGAGGCAACATCCAACTTACTATCCTCCTTTTCCCACAATGAAGGGAGTCGAGAAGAGTCTTAATGGTATTACAAACTTTCTGCTAGTACACCAAGCATATGTTTTGAAAATAATCCAAATTTGATCGGAATACCACCTGCCTTGCTTCATCCTTTTTTTGTAAGAACGAACTAATGTTTGGACATTTAATCCCTCAATGCTTCAAATATAGTCACCCTTTGGCGAGAAACAAATTCTCAGCAAATGGTGAAACTATGTAAAGAATCATAATGACAAAAACACACCGCCCAAATAAAAAGCTATCGATGGTAAGATTTCACAAAGTACATTATGAATGATACATATTATTTGAATATTAAGATGTTAAGCGGCTTAAAGAACAACCAGGGCTAACAGCGAGTTACAATGGCTTACCTATCCACACTCAATGGAAAAAAAGTCTGTCTTAAAAAAAAGAAGAGGTCAAAATCCGGATTTGAAATAAAATGATCCCCTTTTCTGTTACTTTACTGCTTTTCTACTTTCGGTAAACGGACTAAAACTCAATGTAAGGTCATGTAAATTTTTGTTTTCTTTTGCTACGAAGCAGTTGACGTTCATCTAAAGGATTTGTGAATTCTACTTTTAGACTCAAAAAGTCGGTAAAACGGCGATTCCCTTTATCTGAGAGGAAATGAATTCCTTCACCCTTTGATCAAGCTCTAGTTACTCAAGCCGCCTGCTAAGTTAACCAGCGCGAGCCCATTCAAGTTGCCTTATGCGCTGTTACGCAGCAATTTTACTAATATGTTTTCAATTACCATAAATTCCCACTGCTTCCGCCAACTGAATGTAGATCGTCTGTCCCGTGCTCTCTGACAAAGATTACAAGGAAAGTTTGACAAATTTGGCAAGACGTCTTTTGGTAAGAATTCAAGTAACTCAGTCTTTTGTTTGACGAAAAAGTATCTCACCGTCTCAGGAAAAAAATTTTCTCATCATTGTCTGAATCAAGTCTGTTAAAAAAAAGTCGCAGTAACTTTGTGGTGGCTAGATACAATGAATTGAGGATGACAAACAGCATCTAAAATAACACGAGTAACTGACCTTTTTGAATTACTAAATGCGTCAGGCAGCACTCCGTTAAACTGAGCTCTGTTAAAGCGAACATATTTCCAAGTTGGTCCTCCTATACCAATGGCTTTAAACAAAGACACATAATAAAAACACAAATCGTTTATGATATATGGTCAGATATCTCGTCCATTGTATCATGAGAATGTGTGTTTCATTACAGAGCCTTCACAACTGCCGCGCATCAAGCGACGTCAGATTGTACGCTAAAACCGGATAGGGAAAACTATAGATCAGACATTTCCGTGGGCATTTAACTGACATATAACGATAAAAGTGCCAAGCTAGTTGCTAGATCTTTTAATCACTCCGCTTATTTTTGCAAGTGCTTTGGTGTTGCGTTTGTGGTTGGTCTTAATATAACCTTCACCAGCTGAACATTTTTCTAAAATCCAAGCTCAGGCTGGTTTTGGGGAGTTGTGGAAACTACTGTGGTACTTCATAGGACTTTGATCACACACAAGCGTTTTCGTCAATTCGAAACCTTTGTTTAATGCTCTTAACTCGTACTACTTTGTAAATACTGCATATTTTCAGTGAAAAGCGGAATTATTCAAATGTTTAGCTTATTCAATGGTTAGGGTAGCCTGCGTCGCAGACAGTCTAAACCGCTGGTATGACATGTTCGGCTGCAACACAGGCCATGGTTAGGGTTCGTTTCTTGCAAAAACTTTTTTCAGATAATTTCAGGCTTCAGAAAAAGTTATGTAAGTAAATCAAGTTTTGAAGGATAGGCTTACGATTCTATATTCAGCACTTTCTTGTCAGTTAGGAATTGCCAACCGCGAAATATAGTACAAATAAAAATGTAAGTCGATTGTCGCAACAATGTCATGATCTGAACAAATGAGAGGGATCAGAAATTGAAGAAATATTTCAATAAGTGCAGAGCTACAGGCATAGTCTAAAAGACTCCAAGCTCTTTCAACTTCACTTAAAGCAGTAACCTTTCACCAAACTGTTAGCTCGCCTCAGTAGCAGTAATACCATTTAGCTAAGGAGTCTCCTGGTAGTTCGGCCTTTAAACAAAGTTCGTCTAACAAACAGAATTAGTTACGCTGGTAAGTCATCTTCTCACCAGAGTCCTAGGAATGAGTTTTAGAAACACGAGTCAGCTAAACTGAATTATCTTAAGCATTTTTATCGAGCAACGAGCTTCATATTAAACAATAGGCTTTTGTTGTATAGTGAATGCAAAGATACTTTATGAATATGGCCAGTTATGGCAGTGGGGTCATAGACATTGATACCGCTGCTCTACTAAGCTAACGGTTTCATTCCAGTACTCAACCTGAACATGACAGTGTATTAACTATGGATACTCATAGAAACCTCATTTTTTTACAACCAGCGAAAGATTGCAAACAAAAGGTAAGCACAGCGCCCCACACCGATTATGACATACATCTCTACAGAGCCACACTAAATAGAAATCATTTTTACGGAAATGTTAAACTTTACATATCAAGGAAGGACACGGGAGTCAGTTGTTCGCAATGAAATCTTCGAAATACCAATGTTTTCTTTGAGCGTTCATCGTATAGGTTCGACCCGGAAGATGGGAATATCTCGCCTTCAGGTGGCGTTGGAGACGAAATAATCTTCCTTGATTGGGAATTCACGGTAAGGTACGACTAGAAATGGGTTTATCATCAACTCCTCTAGTTCCAAGACTCCCAAATTAGTTCGCCTCACCTGTACAGTACATTTGTTGCTATATCCAAGTTATTTCGTTACCCCCACCGACGCAGCCCCTAACAGTTTCCTTATTCATTTGTACAGTACATTGCTATCAGCCTTTATTCATTTGTACAGTACATTGCTATCAGCCTTTATTTATTTGTACAGTACATTGCTATCAGCCTTTATTCATTGTACAGTACATTGCTATCAGCCTTTATTCATTTGCACAGTACATTGCTATCAACCTAAAGGCTGATAGCAATGTACTGTACATTGTATCAATGCTGCCCCTGTCAGGATACTCAAGAACCTGACGCCGGGATATTTGCCTTTTTTCTCAAAACCTCTTTTCTTTGCATTGTATTGATGTCTAACAGAGAAATAGCAGATTTAATGATTTTTCGATGATAAAGCAAATTATTGTGAAATATACCATGACGACACGATAGGTACGAAGCGGAATTTAGCGAAACAAATGTCCTTCACTCAGTGGAACAGCGCCCACAGACTCATTTTATTTCTCTTGATATTTAGACTCACGCTTGGCTCTAAAGTGACAGTCATTTCCTAAGTGCAATTTCATGAGGGGCACTTAGGCTACTTGGATGGCAAACACTTGAGAGTAACTTACTCTGATACAGCAGCAACTGTTTCGTCGTTATGTAGCGTTTTAAAGCCAAAAATGATTGCAATGCACTAATCCGATGAGGAACAGCTCAGGACGAAGAGCTGGTCTAAATCTTATTTTATAAAATCTCCCTAAAGAATGATGCTCAGTCACTCATCCAGATCAACCCAATGTAGGAGCTAAGCCGCGAAACAACTAATAATTAGGCAATCAAGGTGAACCAATTATGCGACTGTCTATGAAAAGGAGCAAAGGAAAACACAGTGTGTAGAAAGTCAATGTGGTCACTTTTACACCGTCATTGAGTCGGGGTCAAATGGAGCCCCCCAAGTTGCGATTTAAACACTAATGAATTATCAAGTTTTAGTTAAATTCATTTAAATAATAGTTGAACTGATACAAAATATGAAAAGATAATCGCCTCTTCAGAAGTATTTGTATCGTCGCACTTTCTAATCTACGTCACGGTTTGTAGATCGATCTTGAAAATAAAAAGATCAGCCTCATTCTTTGACTGGGCCTCAAGTGTGTCGGCTACTCCATCAGACCGAGGTTATAATCTCTTCATCACACTTAATATTTCTCGGCATACACAGTAGCCCTCTGTTATTATTGTACATGGATTCTTTGCCACAACACTACCCTTGTCGATGGGGGAGAAAACTAAAATTTTGCCAGACGCATGCGTAGTTGGTTTTTATTATCCGGGATATCTGCGTCTTAACATGCCTCGCCGTTAACATGCCGCGCTTTCGCACTGATCGTTTTAAATCTTCATTTATCCCGGCTATGTGCGCGTGTGCTAACCTAGATTTTTAGCTATTCCACTGCTGTATATTAGTTACATCAGTAATTTTATTTAGTTCTTAGCATTTTTGTAATTGGTAGTCTTATATAGTCTTATATAATCAATGATTGTGAAAAGCACGCAATTCAGCCTATGGCTGCAATGTATTTTATTTGGTAATAAACTATCTATCTATCTATCTCTTTGATGACGTCACAAAATTTTGGAAATTCTCGTTCGTCGAGGCAATCAATCGAAGTATTTGGGTCAATTAGTTTCAGGCATCATAACAAATAATTTTCTGCCCGCTAAAATTATTGACCCAACCTTTCATCTGACCTGTCGATTTTCGAACATCGGGTCAAATTGTTTTCCAACAGCTGAGACGATAGGGAACGTTTTACTGAAATAAAGAATTATCTATTCTGTAAGGTTTTATAATGTGCCTGGAAATGATAGATTAAAAAGTGGATAGCGAGCGATCTTGGAAGACCACGAGCATTTGCAGTACTTTTTTTCAGTTTCACCCCCTTACGACAGCTGTTTATCCTTTCAATATATTACTGTCTGTATGTGTTTCTTCTGAGCTTCTTTTTCATTAGTAATATAAAGCAGGAGCAATGGGCTCCTGTATAAAGATATGTCTCAGTAATCCAAACCCAACGATCAGATTCCGCTAAACTTTTGGTAGTCTCTCGCGGTCCCGTGACCTTAAAACTCAGCTGCGGTCAGTGATCTTTTTTGGTCCATTTTACAGGTCATGATTATTAGTTTGTGTTCAACCACCCTTTTTCTTGGTAGCATTAGAATCCTACAGCTCATGGTGACCCTTGGCCTGACCCATAGCATAGCCAATTAGCACCAATCTCGGCCTGAGTTTCCAACACCGTGCATCTTGGGGCAGTAGTGCGTGTATTGCATTCTTTTTTGTTGTTGTTGTTGTTGTTGTTTACGGGTGTCGGCGACTTTAAGTGAAATTTCATACCCTTGCCGGACTTAGGGGATTTAAAACTAAATGATGATGGGATCTTGTCTGACAGTTTGATCGTTGTTTTCTCCCTTCACCGTAGAAATGCATTGCACAGTTCATGATTTCTACATCGGGCACTATAGTTATCTGCCAGAGCAAAAAAAATATTTCTATTGTTGAAGCCTTACCTCTGTAACATCTGTCAACTAATTTCAAAAGACCTTTTCTTGCATAAGGAAGGGTATTGAAGTAGCAATAGAGTTATATTCGATTTATCATCTGTAGAGTTGACCCCCTGTATCTCGCTGAAAGCAAAAGTTTATCGAGAAGATCACCTTCGAAGCTTTAGGCCATTCTTTGATCTCTTTCCTTTTGATCCAATTAGCAAATTTTATTCTTCAGATGATATACGTCGGTGCTTTTAGTACTGTCAAAGCGCGAGTTATTAGCGGCATTATCTTAATTGGCTATCAAGTAATCTAATTGGGGGCCAATGTTGATATTAATTAAACATGAACAGTTGTCAAAATATTGATCACATTGATTGCGGTGATTTGCAGTAAGCAGCCATATGCCATCCGATGTCAAGGCTCAGCTTCTTCTGGCATCATTGAATTTTTAGTAAACTTCATAAGGCGTGAAGTTCCCTTTTGTGTCAAACACCTAACAATTAACGGCCTCTCTTATTTTGATCAAGGTGAGCTGTCTTCAAGATATTTATATATTTTCAAACACGAGAGGAATCTGTTCCTTATTTCGTAATACTGAGTAACGGGTAACTCTGAAGAAACAGAGAGAGGACAGTAACTCCTAAATGAAATATTGAGCGTCTATTTTTAATTTCTTCCCCTCTATGATGCACCAAAAACCATTAAATCACCACTGTATGTACAGAGAGAATTCCTGACGTCCCAGTTAAAGAGCTTCAAAGCTAAAGAGCTTTTCCCCAGTTACTGACAAAGTAAACATCTCCTACGTCGGCTAGATCCGTACACTGAGCACCGCCACCGCAAGCAGTAAGCATAAGTCTCTTACCGCTGACAGTAAGGAGTGCTTATCATGTTTGAAGGAACTTACAACGAAAAGCAGAGGACCTTTGCATTTCCGAGATACATGGCAAAACACGATGGTTATTAAATCGGCGGACTAAATGGCGATAGAGAGCAACACTTTGGATTTTGAGGAAACCATAAGGCTCGGAGAAGCGATATGAGCAACATCGCTCTGGAAAGTTCCACTGATTCCACTATCAACGCACTGATCTTTTCCTTTGCGTCGGCTGTTTTCGATGCTTTTCCCTTCCTTCTGCAATCACGCAGTTCTGTATTCCTTATTTCGTTTCACTAAAGATTGCTCATTGCTTAAGCTAGATCTGCCATTGTGTTCCTCGAATAAAATTGGAAAAAGCTCACAAACTTTTTCTTGTGAAAAGCTCACACTCCCTATCTTCGAAAATTAGAATATTAGGGAACTAGAACAGACTGATTAACTATCATGTAGGTGTTTTACATTCTGCTGAGAATGGACAATCACTTCTTTTGTGGAAATTGTGGGAAGACAAGGGATAGGCGGCTTTATTTTGGCAAATTTAATTCACTTGAAAAATGTAAATGAAAATGTTTTTTAAACAAACGAAGAGAAAGTTGTGATTATATTCCAGTACCTGCATCCAGCAGTTCAACTAAAAAAGCACCAAACAGATGAAGGTGAGATAGCATCGCAACTTGGTTAACGATAGAATGCAATAAAGTCCATCGAATAGGTTTTTTTCAAGAATCATTCACTTCAAGTATAATTTAATTGCACATTCTGTCCATCGTCGACCAGTGAATAATTCAAACGATTCATCGACAAAACAAACGTAGGCATGAGGAAAATGAATGAAGGATTGTGAACAAATGAATAAACGGATATAATTTCCTGATAAGGTTTGTAAAGAATGAAGGCTGTTAAGAGCCACTAAATGAAGCTAATTAAAACCAGTTAAATTCCTGTGGTAGATTAAGTCGTGCCGCTAACCACAATGAAGACAAGGCTGTTATGTTGTGTAATGCCAGGTACAAGCAACAACCTTGCTATGGTTTTTCGTGTTACTATGGGATCTGTTGATAGCCTGCGTAGCGGCCCTAGAGGGAGGGGGGAAGGGGGTGGGGAGCCGAGCGGAGCGAGGCTTGGGGAAGGGAAAGGAGGGCAAACAGAGCGAGGCTTGGGGAGAGGAGAGGATAGGAAGGGCCTCAGTGCAAGCGACCCCGTAGGTTCTTCGAAATATCCTATCTCTCATGGACGAAGAATTCTCATCGGTCGAGATCAAATAACTGTCACTCAGCCGTGAAAGTGATAAGAAACAGGCAAGTTGTGCTCGAACAACATGGCGGAAGATATAGCAAACTTTGATGAGAATACGTTGAAATTATCCTAGAACAGCGCGGAATCAATCTGAAAAACGAACAGCGCCAAGCTTTGGAACAGCTCTACGTCAAAAAGAAGGATCTTGTAGCTATTTTTCCGACTGGGTTTGGAAAAAGTTTAATTTTCCAAGCTTTAGTGTTTCTTGCACGCTTCGAGGCCAGCGACGATAAACGGCCCGTTGTGTTGGTTATAACTCCACTTACAAGCATCATACAGGAACAAATACTCGAACTTGAATCTCTTGGTTTAACTAGTTGTAATCTAACCGAAGTTCTCGATAATTTGGATTCATTATCACAAGTTGATCTGGTATACGCTTCGGCCGAGAGTGTAATCGATGAACGTTTCACAAACTTCCTTACAGATAAAGATAAGGGATTTGTGTCCAGAACAGTTGCTCTGATAGTTGATGACACGATTCAAACTTGGACTGGCCTGAGATAAGAAAAAGTAAAATTCGAATACTTGATGTGCATGATATGATCAATACGAGCGGAATTCCGAGCCGCTCGCGAAGCAACTTTTGTGTTCTGTTTACTAAACAACACTTACGACCAATATATTGAAACGTATGTTTTCTTTCTAAATAAAAGCAAAGACAAGCAGTAAGAAAACCATTGCATTCCGTTCAGCATATGGCAAGCTGTCTTTCGAGGCTGGTGAGTTGAAGCGTAAACACTTTCTTACTGGACTCTTTCCCGTCGGTGTACTGAATTTTCGTTTGATTGCGAAATAGAGCTCGAGTTCTCAACCGAAGATGGACATGAAGCCTTTTCCAAGAGTTCATAAAACTTGTAAAAGGTGTTCACTTTTCAGGTACAGGTAAGGCAAACAATTTGGGGGAGATTTGGCTGTTTTGCGAAGTAAAATCCAAGATCTCGAGACAGGTCCGCGATAACATATTGGAATTCTTCTCTCTGACTTGCTTTAAAGATATTAAGAAAGGTTTTGAACCCAGTTCCTAACTTGATTCTTAAGTTATCTCCACAAAAGCGGCAAGTTGACGGAATATCTATATTAGGCTCTCTACCCCTCTTAGGTTTTTCTTTGAAATTTTCCTTGTCCTCCGACATTTCATCCACGTGCAGCCGTGTTTTGACAGTTTGCATGGGTCAGTGCTCTGCTACTTTTAGTATTTTCCATGCTTCACTGGCGTACGTCTTAAAATGGCGCTTCGTGATTGGATAGTTTTGACAGTTCTTGTTTGACATTCGAAACACGATACGCAAAATTAATCGGTGGGAGTTTCGAAGAATCTACGGGGTCGCTGGCAGGCCCTTCCTTTCCTCTCCCCAAGCCTCTCTCCGCTCGGCTCCCTACCCCCTTACCCCCTCCCTCTAAGGCCGCTACGCAGGCTAATCTGTTGAGGAAATATGTTGCGCGTCAGAACGAAGAGCAAAAGTCACTCATTAGAGGAACTACATCATAACAAAGCAAACAAGCAAGATTCTAATGGATAAATGATTAAACAAATACGTAGCCAAAAAAAAAACCCAACCAATTAAATAAATAGATGAAATGACATAACCCGGTTTTCCTGGAATTTTATGGGCCTATTCATTTATCATCTGACCATTGACCATGTCCAAGAGAATGTGGAATGATATCCTCTTGTCATGTCTAAGCTCGCAGCTTTATTAGGATTTTAAATACAACATAGTCTAATAGCAAAAGGTTTGCTTTTAAAAAACGCCAAATGAAATGTTGCTTCACTAACATGAAAGAATGGAATTATCACTATTATTATTATTATTATTATTATTATTATTATTATTATGGAATGTAGAAATGTATATGTACAAAGTAATCACCCCAAATTAATATCTACGGACACAAGAACCACACGCGGAAAAGACTGGGAAAAAAAAACTTCAACACCCACGATGGCAAGGCTTCGCCCTCATTTTGCACATATCTTAGAAACAGGTTTGTCTGTTAAAATATCTCTTGATGATTGCCAAAATAACGGATATCGTTTCCACCCGTTAAATGCTTTAATGACCTCTCAATAAAACCACTTGATTGAAGTAACAAACTAATGTAAACAAATACTCGATCTACGAACTTTTCAACGGATTAAGAGATTATACATACATGCCAATTCAGAAACTCGCCTAATCAGTGTAACTAACCGACCTTCAATTGCGGCTTGTATCCCTAGAAACCAAAAAAACTATAAACTTCTCGAGAAGTGAATAGCAACCGTATTGGCGTTCAAGTTACCTCCAGGAAATGCGGATAATCAGGATGATCTTTAAGATTTCATAAATCGAATACCGAGGGGGTTAAGAATGCAATGGCCAGCCAAGGCGAATGGCACGCGACGTCAAATCTCTCAAAAATTATGGCAGTACATGAGGTTACGTCAGATCGACAGAGGTTTGTCCGTAGGGTTTAGTTTATGCACTTGTTTGTTTCATGATAGTATTTCTGGAGTAATCAGTACTCGGGCAATCTTCTTCGTGTAGTTTTACTTTTACTCGAATTACGACAGGCGAAACGTGTTATCACTTATTTTGTATGGATTTCGTCAAAAGCTGCCAACATACATGACCTCACTGAGCTGTGCCACTGCGTTGTTTCAAAGTAAAATCATATCTCCAAATTAACCCTTTGCAGGGGAGGGTCGCTCCAAATGTTTCAACAGTTCTGTGTGCGGTAGATAATTCCCAGTGCGGTGAAAATCATTTTCCGTTCTTCTTATAATCGTGCCTATCAAATTATACCACTCACAAAGTTATGGGCTTTGCAATTTTCTCATGCTACAACACTTACCTAGTAACGAATCGGAGGAACAAGGCGCGCAGATCACGTGAGGATGAATTGTCTTTATTGATGTGACATTACAAATGAAAAACATTCACTTTCTGAACAGGTCTTACATGGTTGGAGTTGTGAAATTCTAAAGCTAGCCAGTGAATGGATTCTCGTAAAGTAAAAGTTGGCAAATAAGTCCACAATGAGGATATTTTTAGGTCGATGATCGTCTTTATGCTATTTTACATAGCTCTGTTTAAAGCCAGCCAACAATTTCTGATCTAATTAACGTTTTGCCAAAAGTGACAAAACCTGCACCCTTTCCTTAATATAGAGTTTCAAACATTTACCGCTCTTTTGTTCGTCAAGTGGAAACATCCCACGGTTCATCAAATATTATCTTAATTGGCTGTCAAAGCATTAATAGTCCGGATGCTGGTATCATAATATTTAGCAGCTATGAGTTAACACAAATTTGTGCAATCTCGTGGGCGTTTCAATTTCTCTCAGTGAGTGGCTCGTAGCAGATTTATCCCACAGACTCGTAGCAGATCAACTTCATGGCTTCTTTTACCATAGACGCAATTCTGGGAAACTCGTCCCTGAAACAGGACCAAAAAACATACCCCCAAAGACTTTATTTGACAGAGAACTCACCTTCAGACGTTTGTGACGCAGGTTTGTGTCTTTCATGTCTTTATTTCTGGTAAAGATAATTATTTGTTTCATTTGTCATGGTTGCCTCTTAACAATGTCAAATGGGCAATTGAGACGCTCATAAAGGTTTTCTACTTAAATGTTGTCTAATCGGCTAGTGTTTTCTAATGCTTAGATGAAGAGAACGAAAACTTTTTGGGTGAAGAGCCACATGGAAGTGATCAACCAGTCATGCGCGAAGAACTTCATCTCAACAAAACCCGTAGAAGAAGAACCGCATTTACAAGTAGCCAGTTACAATCTCTAGAAGATACTTTTAACAATAAGAAATATTTAACGATCACTGAAAGAAATAACTTGGCCAAGACCCTACGTCTTTCCGATACTCAAATCAAAACGTGGTTCCAAAACAGGCGGACTAAATGGAAAAAGCAAATGGCGCCTGACTTTGAGGCGAGCATGCGGTTGGAAGAAATGCAATCTGTCTTCAATCATATCCATGCTAGTTTTCCTTATTATGGACCAGAAATAACATCACCGCTTCACCCTGCATTACAGCTACAAAACTTTAACATGATACAAAGTTTCTATCCGTCGTCTAACCTGCATGTTGTTTACGGTGACATGACTTCTGTACCCACTTATCCCAGTGGCGGGTTCATGGGTTAAATTCTTCATTCTTCTGTTTCTTCAAACTGTGCTATTCTTCGGCAGGTCTCCTAATCTGTAATTTCGTGGTGGCTATTTATAGTTCAGAACTAAATTAGCCTCTTGTGAATTTTTTACACTAGTTTAGAACATTCTTGCTCAGCACCTTGTCTGAAAATTCATAGCAAAGGCGTCGTCTCCTCACTGGAAACAGGAAGAACAGTTTCAGTCTGATGGTGCCGAAACTACTACTTTGAAAACAGACTTATTCTACTGTGCACTTTCAAACCGAACTTCTATGAAGAAGTATGTTCGCTGTCGTCCACAACAGTTCTTTATAGCACTAAGTATTTATTAACTGGTTAATATCACCAAAGAATGATTAAATAAGACTTCATATAGGCATGAGATGTTCTTGTTGGTATTTAGACCCGTAAGTGAAGGCTTCCTTGACGAAATAGCGCTAATATTTGATAAATGACCTAGAAATACCTCTAAAAAGATAAAAAAAAATGTGGAATAAACATAACAGTATTGTGTGTGCGTCACATTTTTGCGATACTTGCTGATTGTAAGTGATGACGAGCCGACGAAATTTGAAGTAAACCATGTGCAAGTGAGGAATTCGCGACTAAGCTGAATACTTTTCATCTTTGGCCATCTCCTTGAAAAATGCATTTTGAGGTCCTTAAACTACCAAAGAAAATCGAGTTGATTTCCAAATGCAATTAATGGAATGTTACAAAACACTTGTTACACTGAGCGACACGAAGCATTGACAAGTCACTGGTTACTAACAAAATGGAGAATAATGAAAGTTTATGCTAACCCTCTCTGACTCTTTCCCAGCCTTTCTCGGACTACATGCAACCCCTAAAGGAACTTTAGTTTGCATTAGCCTAGTCTTTAACTTCCATGAAGGACGGAAAATTCAAGGAAAACTCAGTAAAAAACAATAGCTAGAAAACAATTTTAAGGTGATAAAGAAAATGTGAAATGGCAATTTCGAAAAGGGTGCTGGGATACATAAACAACTCCTGCATCTTACTGCATTCTGAGGATGATGTTTTCAATTAGGAAGAAAAATGAAGAGAAATGTAGAACATTTTTCGTGAGTGTGAGATAAAGAATTAGCACCCCATTGAGGAATAACCACAAATCTTCCGACTTTGACAGAATTCAATTTATCGTAGAATGAGGCGGTCATCTCTTAGTAAATCAATAGACCCTCACGGGGAGCAGAAAAGAGGCTTGTTACCTTGCTACCGTGGCTCAGTAAACTGAAATATCACTAAGGAACTCGTCTATCCTTCCTGTCATTGACCTCATTGGTAAAAAAGAACACGAAGAGTCAAGGAAAACAGCAGAGTAACGATAATTCGAGTTGAATGACTCCCAGTATCAACAAATGAATTTGTTCGCTGGCCTGAAATGTTTCACCCTCAGACTATTGCCAGTTCCATAAACGAAATAACAAAAACTAATTTTTATTCATGCTGTGTTTTTAGTTTAAAATATCTTCAGAATTATGGGATTATAAAGGCGTATTCAGTTAAAACATGATTACGGTCACCAGTTTTATCTTAGCTGGATTTGTTTCGCCAAGTTTCATCCGTTTTTCGGAGGATAAATAAAAAAAGGTCGAAAACTGATCAGGAAACTGCGGAGCCGATTCTTTGGCTCCAGAATGTTACGCTTCAAGTCTGATCTATCATGATCAGGAAAAGCTTGCAGATTTTAATGAGAAGTTGTTTTAACTAGCTGTGTATATTTTATCTTTCAATCTGATGAACGAGATTCGTGCATTTTTATCCTTAAATATGGCTGGTAATGAACTCAGCCATTCGAGTTCAAACCAATTTGGTCAAGTACCCGACGGTTTCCTTACTTGATATTCAAGAAATAAGTATTCAAAATAGTGTCCTTTCTGCTTTAATATACGATTTTAATGACGATGCAACCACATAACCAAAATTCAACGATAGTTAACGAGATTATTTTTCTTTAAACCACCGAATACTCTTATTATAAGACCGGACATTAAGATGTCCTCAGCTATCCGTTGGCATAGTCACGAATGTTTGTTGTGAAGAATCTCGTTATGAATAAACGACATTAGGTAGCCTAAAGTAATTTTTATCTCGTTTGATACCGTATCGCTAAACGCGATCAAAGCGACCAACGTCGTAAATAGTTCCAGGAGTTACAACTCAACAGACCTTTCTCTTCGGCGGGCGGCTCGGCTTCCCTTAAATAGTTCTCTTAATCCTGCTCTGTACTTTGCACTTTGGAATATGTAGACCACTGGATTCACACAGCAGCTGGTGTAAACAAGAAAATAGGACAATTTGTACAGCAGGCTTCTGGTGGAGAGATTGACCGCCGAGACGAGTATAAACGGAATAAAGCATACGACAAACAAAAAAGTGACTGTTATCAAAATTGTTATAATTTTATGTTTGTCTTTGTAGTCTTGTTCGACGTGGTTTTCATTAGGAGGAAGTATGTTGTTGAAGTAAAGAGCTTTTATGATTTGAAAATAACAGAAAGTCATAGTGATGACTGCAGCGCCCACCAGTGTCGCCAACAGTGTCCAATAAATTCGGGAATTACTCTCTTTCCACTCCATAAAGCACTGCTTCACTTTGACATCGTATCTCTGCTTTATAAACAGAGGCAAAACAAAAGCGATGGAAAATCCCCAAATAAGGGCAATCGCAATTATGACGCGTTGTTTGTGGAGTTTTAGGTGCAAAGCCATGGGTCGCAGCAAAGCATTGTATCTTTCAGTTGAAATAAGAGTGAGTGTAAGTCCTGAAACGAGTAATGTGATTCCTGCAATGAGATGCATCGTCACAAACTTGCATAGAAAACTACCCACATTACCGCTGGGGTGCTCCACAAATCGTAGAATAATCCCCGGTACACAAAGCACCAAGGAAATGATTTCAGAAACTGCCACATTAGCCAGGAGAAAGTTGGTGGTTGTATGCATAGATCTGTGCCTTCTGACCACAGTAATAAACAAAATATTTCCCAAAATTCCAGCTATCACAATCAGGATGTAAAAAGGCAGAAGACCAATGTCTACTGACCAACTTTCCATGTTTTCAAGGATACGATTAAGCGTTTCTTATATTCCCTTCCGCTGGCATTTTGAGCATGTACTGTACTTAGCTGATCTTAGCTCAAAACCAAGGAGTTGAATATTGAAACCAACTTGACAGGTCACCTACTCCTCAATAAATGAGTGTGCATATATTTATCTTTGTCTCATCTGCTTCATGCTGAGAAATGACTTATTCTCATCTTCAAAGATTATGCAAAACACTGTTGTTTGTTAGCGCCTTTCCATTCAGTTCATTTGCATTACAAAGGCTCACTAAAATTGTGAGAAATTTTCCATTTCATGTAGCTGCTTCTTGAAGAAAAGCAAAGATCCACTGTTGAAAGTTGTACGTGTTAATGAGAATATTTCTGATGCATTTGCACGGTGCACGGGTTTATTTAATGATTTTTTTTTTACACTTTGCGCTTGTTTAATGTTCGAACAGAGAAGCCACTGAAATATATTTTTTCACTCTGACTTCAAGTGAGTATAAAGACTTTTTAATGAGTTTAATTATTTAGCACCTCAAAATGAGACAGGTGGTCGATTAGAAGAATAAGGGAAAATGATTCTTTCGATTAGCACATGAACAATATCCGGATTAAGCCAGCACTCGTGAAAGACCTAATCAACTAAGGCTCACGAATGTCCTTCTAAATTTTATTGCTTTATATTGACCGCAGATGACTGTTGTAAGTTCGATCCCTTAAATACAACGAATTTCTTTTATATAGCAGCTGCAGTGAGTGAATCAATGGAAGGCGAAGGGTTTTATAGTGGGTGATTTATCAAATCGCTCGGAGACATATTTGGCAAATTTTTTGAACGATATATTTTTAATCACAGTCATTCGATAAAGATGGTGATAACGATAACAATGTCAACTAATCCAAGCCAAGACTTACCGATAGGCATGCGCAGTCATATAAAACACAATTTATGATTGAATTTTAAAAAATGCTCAGGAATCAACATCTTTGTTGATCTACTAACGCAGCCAACGCTTTTGACTGTAGTCAACCTTGCAGTGGGAAGAACACAGATCCTGTCACATATAAATCCATAACAATAACTTCTCTGTAACTAAGTGCAAGAGTATCCGATCACGAAATATAAAGGTCCAGAGTTCAGTTTCTGGTGGGAGCCTCAAATCTTTTTTAAATCCCATGCACATGACAATTTTGTTTCAAAAGAATTTTTTCATTCCTCAACTAAAGTCGAAATTTACTCTGTTCCCTTGGCAAGTCGTTTACTGTTGTCGAAGGTTGCTGAGGACGGCATAGAAGTATCACCTTTTTTAACGTCAGAGCGGGTAGAAAATATTTTTTTTAATCCGACAATTCTATTTATTTATACACAATCCTCCTTCAACAGCCATGCGGGTCGTTACAGTGACAAAAACTCATCTTCATTCATATATATGGACCTCATGGATTTCTTTCTTTGATGAAACTAAAGTACCGAAGATTTTAACCCCCGGTTTAACAAGAAGCTGACTAAGTTTAAGAACGGAGTTGCTGGTTGATGTTTGCGCACGTGGACGTGGTCGCCTCTAGTACCAGGCGCCTACGGACATAATGTTGTCCTCAACCCAAGTGTCTAGGACCGGATTGTGCACAGTTAGCAAAGATATCAGAAGCTTTGACTTCAAAGCCGGATTTACGTTTGGGGGTGAACGGCCTTATTCATCTAAATGACCGATCAGTAAACCACTTACTTGAAGGCAGTAAACGTTTATAAACAAATGCTCCAGATTAGAGTTATGACTAACTGCTTACAACAGGATTATCCCAATGACCTGTGCTTATGGGCATTTGCCCTAGTTAAGCAGGTGCTATTGGTCGACGATTCCGAACCAGTGCCAAGAAACCACAGAATACGAGACAATTTTCAGATAAATAACACACTTAGATGTTTGCCTTAAGCATAGCAACGCCTGATCCAATAAGGCTAAATGCGCAGGAAGTCAGGATTACTCATAGCATGGATTACTTTGTCAGAAAGTTAATACGTTTTCAATGATGTCGAATCTAAACATTGCACGCGAAAGGAATTTTACTTGTGTACATGTCTTGGTCGCCCTTGAAGCAATAGATATAATGCACCATTGGTGTGCACTCCGACATACGGTCACCAAATCTTTTTTTCCAAGGAATAAACAACCTTTAGCGTATGTTAATTTATTTTTCGCAAGTACGTGTTATTGTTATGGTGTTGCATTGTCTATGGATTATTTCAAGTCTAGTTGTTCTCAGCTGTCATCTGACATCAATTCTTCGTTCTTCATGCAACATTGGGGAATAAAACTGGAAAGGTTATATTCGGACAAATCAGTACTCTGTTACAAAAAACAACGTTTTCGATCTCAAAATAGTCACAAATATTTAAAACTTCGAGTTTAAGCGTTAGTTGATTATGATATTTAATCGTTATTAGAACATCTGTAAATTAACTCTTCGTGGGGGAATTCACACTGCACACTCAACCCATTCATCATCTAAACGGTTTGAGCTTGGATCTAACACCTTATGTCAAGTGGACAAAAACGTTGTCTTTAAAAAGGTTAAATTCTTTTATCTATCAAGCAACATTTTCTTTGAGCACAAAGTGTAAACAACCATCCCAGCATTGAAAACATAGCTTTTAAAATTTTCCAAAATGGAACTACAGTTGGTACAGGAAATTCGATAATTAGGCAATTGTCGGCTTCAATGAGCTTGACATTTGTTGAATTAATTCCAAGGCCTGCAAGGCCTCTAATAACATTTGTTTACAATTCCTCACGCAATTAGACGAACCTTGACTTCATTGGGAAAATTCTTTTTTAATTTGATTATTTGTTACTTCTAGAGGGTGGGTAAAAATAACCCAGTTTGAAGTTCAAAACGATCAGAGATTCAAGAGATAACCGCTGGGCTGAGGTGCTCAAATTTAACCGAAGACAAACGCTGTACATGAACTCATATCTTCGCAATCAAATATTTGTTGATATAATTATCTACATGTCAAATTGATCGCTTATACATATTTCTGTTTATAGTTAGCGCTAAACATTTACCGGTTCTTTGTTCTCTTAAGTGGAAACATACGAAGGTTATCAGACATATCTAATTGGCTGTCAAAGAGATTAATCGTGTCCGGATGTTGGTATCACAATATTTAACAGCTACGAATGGTTGTTGATTTTATTACTTTCTTGGGGAAGTTATCGTCATTAACATTCTTCTGCTCGTAAGCATCACATGTCTATGGCTTCGTTCAGTATCAATGCGATTTTGGGACGCTCTGAACAAAAAAGAGGAGATTCAAGCCCCTCAGGAGATCAACACATTCACGAATCAAGAGAAAGCACAGGCGACAAAAGTAAGTTTGCTTCTGATTTCATTAACAAGTACTGTTGTTCAATTGAAATATACGCATCCAAAGACCTTCTCTTAACTTCGCGGAGTAATGTTTTCGCTTTAGATGACGATGGGAATCGCGCGTTGAAAGAAGAAGAGGCAGTTTGTGTCACTAATTCACCAGAGGAAAACCCAAATTACGAGGATGATATAATGCCTTCGAGCCGTGAGAGCCTTTACATCAACAAGATTCGCAGAAGACGTACAGCGTTTACCAGCACCCAATTAAAATCTCTGGAGGAGAAATTTCACGACAAGAAATACTTGACAATCACAGAAAGAAACAATTTGGCTAAGGGACTTCATCTTACAGACACTCAAGTCAAAACATGGTTTCAAAATCGAAGAACAAAGTGGAAGAAACAAATGGCACCAGACTATGAAGCGAGTTTACGGTGGGAAGAAATGAACAATATGTTTAACCATTTTCAAACTGGTTTTCCCTGCTGTGGAGAAGTTAACACTCATTTTCGCCCTGTACCACACTTTTACAATGTTATACCCAGTTTTTGTCCATCATCCAACCTCCAGGTTGTGTATTCAAATATGTCTTTACATCCCTTCTCGTAGTATTACGACTTAAGCAAGCATGATAAGCAATGTTTTTCCTCTAATCATTGCTAGTTGTTTCCATGAACTAGCCTTAATTTAAAAAGAAAAGTCAACGATTGAAAGGAGAAATAACAATCATGTCACAGCTTGTGACTTCGTAAATAAGTTTAAGAGGCAAGAGCACAGATTTCGTGTCGAAATTGTCACTTGGGCGTGAAGCTATTCACGATCAACTGTGGGGCCATTTTAGAACATTCCAGCACTTACAGTTTGTCTCTACGCGTTATGAACAAACTAGAATGTCTGGTTTCGACTAGAATTGGGGCAAAACGTGCATTTAGTTCATACGTAAGTGCAATGTAAATTCCCATCGGCCAGGGAAAAGGATGCGGATCATCCGACTGATTGACTGATTACTGACCGCATTCCAACCATGTCGTTTTTCGTGGGTTCGGGCGGAAACCATGAGGAGTTCAAGACCGTCTTTGAATATTAAGCCTAGATTTTGCTTTTCAAACAACTGATGTTCATTAAGTAAGCTACCCAGTTTACATAGAGCAGGTAATCCGAGGCTGAGACAATCAAGTTAACCTCGTAAACTATAATGATTTATCATATTTCACCACTAAAACCGAAGATTCACAATTCAAGCTCGTTCCTGAGCAATAGTGTAAGCTTCCGGTGATCGAATGTTAAACTCGTCTTGATGACCTCATCATCTCCTCTAAAACAGTTTTGCTTAGTGCTGAACAGTGGAAAGGAAGTTGACAGTATTGTTCTTTAGTTCATTTATCATTTCCACCGACAGTAAAACACTAAATCAAAAGGATAGTTTAAATGATCATGCAATCTTGTTTTTTGGCAAATAGGGAACCTCCTTGCATATGTGCATGTATTTCTAAGCAGAAATTTGGCTCCATATCTTACAGTTTGTAAAAAATAGTTATTTAATTAGTTGTCTTGAACGTTTACAATTTTGTCGCTTCTCGCTCATTTAATTGACCTTTTTAATCTGTGTATTTTCTCTGGGATGAATGCCGTTGTCATGAACGCCGCGACAGAAGAGCAATGCCTTCAATTAACACCATAATAAAAATTTTGTTTCTTTGAGTGATTGCTAAAGACTCGCTCGTGCATACACCCGCATTACGGTTTGATGTTGTTCAAGTTTACATTTCACTTCCTAAATTGATATAAATGCAGGCCAACGGTGACCCGTTTTAGGAAATATCTTTTCGTGGGAAAGGTGAGCGGTTGTTGATATTTTTAGGGGCATGCAGTTGGGGAGTTGTAAATATGGGATCAGTTCAAAAGCAATTTCTTCATTCGTTTGGTTTCACAATAACAACATTGTCCAAAAACTTTATTACTTAGCTGTGTTACCCGCAAGAATGCAGGCTAAATAGAACTCCTCAAATTCGAATTATAACGAAGCTATATTTTTAAAATATTAAACTACAGCGCAAGACTCAAAAATCAATGAATAGCAAGGAACAGCTTCGACTGAGACTAGCACTGCCGACAACCAGGGGCCACAATAACATAGTGACCCACTCGACACACTTTGGCAAACAGTAATCTCACTGTTGAAACCCACGTAGCCTAAAGAATCGAGACGTAGATTTTTAATCCACATTTCTAAGTAGTACTCAGTACAAGATGTGGTAAATTGCTCAACCGATGACTATTTTAGATTCATTCAGTATATAGATTAAGTCAAAGTTGGAATACGTTATCACAGAAGGCAAACCAGTGACTGTTTATATGAGACAATGAAGATAGCAGAAATAATGCGTAGCATTTGGGTAAGACCTTCACTCAGACACCGATTGACTTTTATTACATAGAAAATGAGATTATTACCTCCTATGGAGGGTTGTTTTCACTTTGCAGAGAAGAAGGCGCGGTTTATCATGCAAATAAAAGAAAGCCTTGCAAAATATTCGATTTATTTCGCGACAAACAAAACAAGGGTATTTGTTAAAAAGATCAGGCTGGCGTCTCTTACGGTAATTCTGATAATGCAAGTTAAGCTGATTAAAATATACCTAAATAAAGGATGATGGATAGTGTAAAGACCCTTGAAGAGTTTTCCACTACAGCTGACAAGGTAGAAAATGATACTCTTTCATATTTATGGCAGATCGGTCGCAGTGCTTTTTTTTTTTGCCCAATCCTACAGTTACCGCAATAGTGTTGGAATGTTTGCCACAAAGATAAGTGGAGTATTCGAGTTCTATTGACGACTAGACCTCTTTCGCTGAAGAGTGTCAGCTTACAGATTGGTCAAAGATAGATATCAGTGTTCTGTGTAAGCGGAGTAGTTTGTCCTCATCAGTGAGTCCTTCATGGCACCTGTATAGAGATTCAACCTGGCGAGTCTACCGTCATATCTCTTAACTAAAGTTAAGTTTGAAAGCTATTGTGACTTACGAGATCTCCAATCTTAGACGGGCAGCTTTTCGTGGCGTTGACGCGGCGACAGCATCATAGCCAAACCAAAGTCAAGTTAGTTTTCCAGCTGGTAAAAGATGGTCGGTATACTTGACTCAGTTAGGAAGATACGTGATTTGGAGAAAATCAAATCTATTTCATTGACATGTCAAGCACATTGGCTGGACTATGAGGACTCAGGCAGATTTATCAACTAAATTTCGGAGAGACAACACTCAACGAAATTTCACTGTGAGCATTTTTATATAGGTGCCTTATCGTGCAGCCCTTCAATTAATTCACTTGACCTCTTAGAAAGAGAGGATATTTCATTCATCAAGCAGATACTCTTACCTACTTCGGATAAAGCGAAAACAGAAATTGTATCACGCAAGAGGGGAACAGCTCCGACTTCCAGTTATTGGCAATATCTTAATTGGTGAGTGTATAACTAACAGATAAGTTAAAGCATCGAGTCAATTTAATTTTTATACGGGTAGAAGCAGTTTTCCATAATTCTGTACAGTTATCATGGTGATAGTACAACAACAATCGATTGGTTGCGCACGAGTAAATGGTTTTTAGTAAGCTGCATTATGCATGAAGATGAAAAGGTTTGTCAATTTTCAGCTCTACAGATATTGCGAGTAATCAGTGGTTGCTAAAGTCACATGAAAACGAACAGAAAAAAGCATCAAAATTTCTGCTCATTAATATCAAATTTGCGGGTTTAGAGCTGTGCCAATTCATGGAGATAAAACAAATGCGATAAAGAAATATCTCTTCAGAGGCCAAACTTAAAATGACTTGCAAAGATTGCAATAGTATTGATACCCATTGACATAGTAAGGTCATCTTTATCAAATGACTGTTCGACTTCGAATTTAAGAGCAGAAGCAATAAATAAGAAATGTTACATTCTATACTACGACAACGTTTGTGGCATACACGACATAGAAATATAAGCAAATGGCAGTTGGTCTGTTGAAAAACGAAAAAAAGACTTAATAAGTTATTCAAATACGTAGGAAAACACGTAATAGTTAAACTACAATGTTACTTGAAATTCAGAATACACCACACAAACACGAGAAACCAGGAAATAAGTGAACGTAACAGCCGTTGTAAAATGGAAAAATCAGTTGCAATTGCAAGACAACGATGTGAATTACGGCTTACATTATTGAATGTTGCTAAAGAAGGATGGCCGCGAAATACCTCATCATTTACGACCCATTAGTTAATGTTTTTATTGTTTGTGTTATTTCTCACAACGACTGACGATATTGATGACAATCATGAGATTCACTACAGGAACGACAATCACCAGGGCAACAAGAATCACACCAATCACACTCACGATCACTATCACAATCACGATATAGAGATATTCCCAATGTATTATTTATTAGCGGAGATAGATAAATTACAGACTTTTATCTACGGAAAAAAGCCACGCGACGCGAAATTAGATAATGGACAGCTTGACTGGCTGGAGATAGAAGTGATTTAAAGTTCTGAACACCTAAACAAAAATTCATCTGACGATATAAAAAGAAACGTTATCCTGATTATCAAAAGTGCAGCTCCAATGCGACGTAAGCGCCTTTCAACAAATTTCTTCCGGCCGGCTCCAATTGAGCCCAACTGTTAAAGATGATCTAAGCTTCTGTAATCAATCCACTTTGAACAGATTACGTCAGTTAAAACTCTTTCAAATGGCGCGGAGCAACTTCAGAATACCCGTCCACATCATTTACATGTGTCGGGAGGCTTTGAAGAATGAAGCACAACACAATAGATGCTATTCTTATTAAGTCCTTTAGGATTTGTGCCGAAATAATCACTCGATTATTTGACTTATTTTCTTTTTGACAGTATAAATACCGTTCAACTTCTCAACAGGAAGATAAGAATCCTATCATTCACTGTTGATGGTCTGTGAGATAATTATCTTGACCCTTTTAAAATAGCACCATTTATTGAAATAAATCAACGGAATCATTGAACTGATTAATAAAATAATTTCCTCATTCATGTTGTTGAGAATCTGACGGAATCGCGTCGCCACATAGACTCATTGTTGTCAAAATATATTGAATTGTCTCTTTTACAGTGATAATTCTTTGTGGTTTTCATCTGACATTTATTTGTGCTGACAAAGGATTTATTAAGTAAATAATTAGTAAGGATTGTTTAGTTTTTGCATGATTTTTTCCTGTCGCGGCCCTAGCCGCAAGAATTTCTCACGATCCTGACGGAAGCAGATATCTCTGTCCTGAAGCTGTTAACTGTATTACTTACTGTTCGGTGTCGCCACTTACATTAAAATTCCACGCCCAAGTCTTACATATTTTTGAAGAAAATTCTTTGAGGAAGTCAAGAAAATTCAAACACTAAAAACCTGAAGGATTACATGGTGACCAAACCCATAAAATGTAATGTTGTATGTCGCCATGTTCTTTGAAAATCAACTCAGCTGATCAGTCCCTTGGCAAGTAACGAAAAAGGAAGGAAAATTTACTGGCCGTTCCGACTGCTGCCACTGCCTTAACTTTGAAGGGTTTGCGAAAATTGCAGAACCGTCCGGCATTTTAGAGTAAAATTACCAAAGGAAAGGCCAAGAATACTGAGGAAACAAACCCACATCTTACAGTTGACGTCATATTTAACGTAAAAATAATTTATTACTTTAAACCATTCACTAATTAACATACTGAAAAGTGATCGATGTGATATGTGTAGTTATTATATTAGCAGTATAAAAAAATACGATTTTCTTCTCGACTGTATAATTATTATATTCCACTTCAGGAAGTAAAACACTTTCTTGAGCAGATTCGTGAAGTGAATTTAAAAGACCGAGATGGGATTTTGTAGCCACGAGACTCAAGTTGTGTTTAAGAAAATTCTTCATGGAACTGATGTCTTTCACAGCATTCCTTACATAAGCAGATTGTGAAGGGAAGTTACCAGACCGGAAAAAGAATTTTGTGGCTGTAAGACTTATCTTTAAGAAGAGTCATAAAACTCTTCCTGAGAACAGTACTGCCTATATGCACCGGCAACTAAACAGTGCGGAATTGTTGAGTATATATAGTGACGCCAGTGTCGGCGCTCAGCATATGATAATCTCAGGTTCAATAAACAGAGACGTGGTAAGCTGATTTGTCATAATTATTGGCCTGGCAGGTTACCAAAACCTTGCAGGTTGTTGATATCCGGCGAGGTCCTTCATATCAATTACATTTGCAAATGATTTACTCTGTTCAAACGTGCTCATGGTTTGCACGCCCCAAAGGGAGTGAGCGATGCCCTGACAAAACCTTTGAATGACTTAGTGGCGTCGATTTAAAAAAAAAAAAACAGCTTTCCTTGTTTACTCCAACCTAGAATAACCGCATGGCATCAACCTCCGGTTCGAACTAAAACAACGAATGCATACGGGCAATGAGTTTATGAGGGTAACAGGATGACAATTCCAAATTGTGCTTGACGTAAGAAAAAAAAAAAGGATAAGTCCGGATAACGGCCATTTACGTCTTTGACTAAGCTGACGTGGAAACATCTTTCAACTGTAGTAATGCAAGTATTGCTGCGTGATTGCAATATACACGAAAGCGGAACTGAAAAAGAAGGCTTCCCTTGTAATAAGATATGACAGGAAATTACTACTCAATACTGACGAACGTGATCGCGAATAAGACTCTTTTAGCTGGTCAACCTTGAATACTTGAAGTCAGCGCAAGGAATACCATTATTTGCTTAAACTGCAACATGGCCTCCGCTTCAAACACCTTTCTCTTTATCCCAGTGATACTTCTCGTCCTCAACTGCAAAGTTAGTCATTCCGTGGCAAGCACCGACGAGAAAAGCGAAAAACGCTTTGTTGTACATCAAATATGCAATGGCGAACCGCCTCCTCAAGCTTTCAGTGAGTTTGTGAGTCTTATAAAGGTAAAGTCTATTTACGAGCCTA